GCTTTCGTTAGCTTCTAACTCTTCATCATCATCCGAGTCTGAACCATCCATATCCATTTCATCGATATCATCATTCTCATGAGAAACCTTGAGTACCAAATTCCCAAGTTTAAGAATCTCTTCAGGGTTCTTAGCAAACCGCTTTACTTCGTGACGCAAGCTCGACAACAAAGGTTGAGACTGCATATCAATTTGCTGCCAAATCTGCTCAGCATCAAACCCATCAACCAAAAGCTCAACGAAAGGAGATTTAGGGTTATGTGGCTTCAACTTCGTGAATAGATACTGAGATGCAACACGAGCCACCTCAGATATCGAACTCGGCGCTAGAAAAACTGGAGGTTCAGTTGACTTGAGCTTCTCAAGGGCTTCCATGCCCGGATCCGTTACAGTAGCCATAGATTAGGGCAGAACGAAAGCAGTAGCGTTTAATCAAAGGCGGTGATGAAGATTGTTTAGTCGGAGATTAGGTTTTGGAAGAGGAACACGACGACCGCGAGAAGAGAAGAGAAACCTCAGTATCTCCAAACCCTGAACATGCCCAATTAAAGGGCTTACTCGTTGGGCCAATACTTGGGCCTTTAGGCAAATTTGGCCCATTAAACCTCGATATGGTGAAAGATTTCACATTTCACAAAACTTCCACTTGTCAAAACTTTTTTGTACTGCAAAAAAAATTGGCAAATTTTAAAATGATTTGTTTCGAGTAAATGAGAGTTTGAAATCGAAAAATAACATCAATGTACTTAGAATTATGATACTTTATTACCCACTTACAACATATAATCATGGATTAGAGAGAATCAAACAAACAAAAAATCTCAAGAGTATCACAAGTACAAGCCTTTCTACAGAATCATAGGGGCTTTGAGCTACAACACATCGTTGATGAATTTTTCTGTGAGTTCTTTAGGAAGTCCCATGACTGTATCAACTCCCCCCACCTACAACATTACAACAACAACAAAAACTCTTACAATCGCGTTATCAACAGAACCAATCAAACAGCGGATATAGATAAAACACGCGAGGTTCTTGTATTGCGGTCACTAACCACTGTATCGATAAAGGGTGAAATGAGGGGATGCTCCAGTGTTAGACCACCAGCGACCTTGAAAGTTATTGCATCATCAATCTAAAGATTGAAAACAAACACAAACGTATATGTTATAATAAGTTCATGAGATTGATAGTAAGAAGAATGAGTGGTTTTAGAAGTTTTACAAGATCGTCGATGACTTTTTCTGGAATCTCATGGAAATAAACCTGCACTCACATCACCACACATTGTTCAACTCGCAAGAAATCGTTTTCAAAAGAAGCTGAGCAAAGGGTAAGGAGCAATGGGAATCCTTATCGAGCAGCGTACTTATAAGAATCAAGAAATATAAACGAGAGCGCACAGATTCATATATACAAAAGATTAAAAGAAAATCGTGTGCTATGAATGAGAGTACCTCTGCTTTGTCCCATCCTCCTCTTCTAACTCCAGTTTTCAAGTTGCTTACAATAACAGATCCCACAACGCCTCCGTGTGACCCGGAATAGCCTGTGTAGATTTCAAACAACAAGCTTTATTAACCTAACCAATGGCTAGTATCACAGAACATCTGAAAGTATCTAACTTGTAACAAAACCTTTGATAAATTCTCGAGCTTCTTCTTTACTGATCGGTTTTTCTCTAATAGCACCTTTGTACACAACAACCTAAGAAAGAAACTCCATCACCATATAAAACATGAGCTAAACATAACAAATTCTCTAATCCAATAATGAAAATCACAAAGTGGTGATTGAGGCATTTAAGCATACAGTGTCTGCAGTAATCAATATAGTTGGTTCAGGATCCTGCTCAAACTGGCTCTGACCTCCCAATTTCGATATAACCTCATCTGCCTAGAAATTACATAACCTTTCATTACAAATCAAAAGTAAGCAAATTTTTTGACAGAACCCTTAGATTAGATTAGATTTACTTTGGCTTCAGCAATAGCCACAACCAAATCTTCAGGCTTCTCTGTCCTAATAGCTTTCTCATCAATGTCTGCAGTCTTAAACCATAATCCAACAAGCCAATAGGTTTGAGATTACAGTCCATTATTAACAAAAATCAAACACTGATCTCAAATTTTACATATAATCGAACGTAAACAAAATAAAAATCAAAACTTTAACCAAAAAAAACAAAAAAGCATACCACGACAGTGAAATTATATCCCATTTCAGTCAGAATCCGCTTTCTCGCCATGGATTGAGAACCCAGAATCAGCTTCACGTTGAGAAATCACTCGTAAGCAAACTTCGCATTTGCAATTTTCACATTAAAAGAATAAAGGAATCTTATCCAAACCTTGAATCCTCTCTCCATCGCCTTGGTGGCCATATTGGTTGTATTCTTGTGCTCTAATCGAAATAGTGAAGACGGAAAGATAACAAAAAATACAAATACGAAAAGAGTGAAGAAGGAATTTTTGACCATCTCCAACTTTTTAATCCTCCAATTTCAACTATACTTCAACTTTGTTTTATACAACAACCTTAATATATATATTATTATTACTTTCGGGTTAGACATTCCATGTTCATTTTATTATTTAAGTTTCAGACATTCCATGTTGGGTTTACTAATTTGATCCACATATCTAACCTTACGTGTTTTATTAATTTCGAAACCTAAACCTTACTGTTTTCAAATTTGAAAAACACTATTCGTACTTTCGTTTTGAAATTGATAAACAGAGAGTGTGTGTTTATTAAAAAAAAAAAAAACTGTTTTTTTTTTTCTATATATGGTGATTGGAAAAAGAAAAGTGGATTGGAGATATAACTAATTCTGGCCTCTCGAATATTTTTTTCAGCCTGTATTATCCAAATCCAATAAGAACTAGGCAAGTATTATCTAAAAGATGGGTATCACCTTTCAAAATTGTTTGTATGTTGGAGCGGAAACATTTAGTCATATCTCTCCATTGTTACTTTAGGCTCTTTTGTGATCATTTTGACAGAGCTCAGCTTTTCATGATGGATTGAAGATGTAACATGGATGTGTTCATGTGTATATAGCAACCTGAATCAAGTTTAATAAACACCATCGGTTTCTTTTTTTTTTAACTTAGTGCTTTTTTCTCCGTCTGATTCGTTGGCAACCTTTTATCTTTTTTTTTTTTTTGGCACATAATTTGGCAACCTTTGATCTTTTATTCAGAATTGGCTCTTTGTGTAAGATGTTTAGACGAATCATTCAACTGTTTGTGAATGAATCAAACGGCTATAGGACGCTAAAGTTCAAAAAGCGGAAACCAACTTAAGAACTTACGCAGGAAATGAACCAAGCTCTAAAAGAAACACTTGAAACATGCCCAACGGGTATGAATATGTACTTAATTATGCTACATAAAGAATTTTTTTAATCAACCTCAAATACGCACATCTCTCCAATGATCTTTTCCACATCTTTCAAACTGAGGGATGAGGTTCGATCCCCATCTTTGCAAGATTTGGCCAAACTCTTTTAGTGAACGTAAAGTATTAATATGTTTCTTGACATGTAAAAGAAATGCACATTACATGTCCAGACATGTAACGGAGAGCAATGTATTTGTTTTTACCAAACAAATTAACTGCACGTCTACCTTGTAGGAGGAGCATATGAACACATTTTAGCAAGAGAAAAAGCCCGACCATCTAATGTAATCCGCCTTGTAGAGAAACTCACAAACTATAGGGTTATATTTGATGAAGCAAGAAATACCAACACAAATCCATAATAAATCATGAAATAAAACGTTGAAAATCTATCATAACCTCAATTGGTGGATGCTCGGCCTCTCCCACATAAGGATGTGCTATCCCGATGGTTAAAGGCTTCAAGCAACTGGTGGAGAGATATACTAATTCCTCTCTATGACATTATGTTTGAGCAACATGTACATCTCCCGGTTAGACAATTTTAAATTATTAAAATAATAATCAATCCTTTTTTGTTCTAATTTGACCAAACGAGATTTGATACTTGGTCTTGTTGTTATCATTGTTTTCTTAGTCCTCTGTATCTATCAATAATTTCTATTTCCTTTGTTCATCTTCAGTTACTACGAATTAGAAAACATCATGGTACTGATTATAGTATAATAGTATATAACTTCTCTAAACTCTAACCTAAATCTTAGTCTATATAAACGATTAGAAAATAGTCAAATACAAAATGTCAAGTATACCGAGAAATAGATGTCATCAAACTGTGCCCGTCGGATTTATCTCTTGAAGAACACGATTCATGATCCATCCTCCCTCTCTAAATCAAAGTAAACGGATGATCAATGCATACAAATACTTCCTCATGGTCTTAGACTCTTAGTCAATAAACGAATTTGGACATTGTTTTATCTAAAATGCAAGTCTTCTATTTGGATTGATCACCCCTATATAACATCATTCGAATTAACAACACAACCTCGTATTTTGAAGAAGCTCACTAACGTTTTTCTGTTTTAACTTTGAATTTTTACATGTTTATATGGCATATGTGACAGAGGAAGAGGGAAGCTGGGCTATATCTCACAATTTATGAGATGATACTAATTAAGTGAGATAACTCTCGACATGGAACCGCAATATTCGGGAATCAGATTCTTCATAGACTCAATGCTAATTTCCTGTCGATTGTGTTACTAACCTGGAGGATGAACAAAGAAACCACGAAGAAGTGAATACATGAGAATGGACAGAAATTACGGATCTGTAATGCTAATCTTTCTACCCGTTCGGCATCGCCGTAACCTGAGAATCCAACATGATTTGAGAGACCGAGCTTCATGGCATGCGACGTGAGGCTCGCTTTGTATAGGTTAGAGTTCAAGGAGGGGATTTTATGTATGACCTAATTTAAAGGCGTAACTGTAAGAGCAATTGAATCCAACAATTAAAGGGGTCACATTTAATCGTGCACCGAAATAAAGTAACAAGAACTAGATGACACCAAATCCCGTTCTTGTCCTTGTTGCTCTGATCTCGTTTTTGATCATGCAGTAGCAGTAAATATGGATCCGAAATGACCATTTTTAACTCGGATCTTGTATCACTAATAACGGGCCTGTGAAGACCCAGACGGATCAGGCTGTTTAAACTTAAATGATAAACGGGCCTACAAAATTCTGGCCCATTTTAACATCATGAGAGTTGCTTCATTACCATTTTATTTCTCTGCCCGCAGCTGGTACCATATAGTGAATAGTGTTCCGACTCGGACTTCAAGCTCACGTGCAAGGAGACTTAGAATAGGTATGTCTTTTTTTTTAATACATGATCTACGTACTCTTCAGCTAGAGACAGACCTTTCTTTTTTGTTTTGGCAGCTGGAGATGAGATTATGCGCATTTGCAAAATGCCTTGGGAATTGGTGATGTGGTTGACGTGGCTCTCCGATTCTTTACTGTATGTTTCCCTTTTACATCTATCTTCTCAATATTAATCTGATTCTTACACCACCCCCTAACTGAACTAGTACTGTCTTCATGTCTCTACTTGACTTGCAGGTCCGAATCTTAGTAATCGTCTTGCAGATTTCTTTCCTCACTTATGTTTCCATTCACCAAAACTTTTCCTTATCTGTAGGGAAAAGAAAATCCCCATTCTTCTTATTGATTTTTCAATCTACCTTCGAGTTAGCGTGTAAGATGACTTGTTTTCATTCCCTTCCTTTTCTCTTTACTTGATAGCCTTATTACATGTTTAGTCTACTGCAGAGTCGAGTAATGCGGGTATTGCTGTTTTTGCTTTCATTTCAATTTTTTGTCTAGTTACGAGTTAGGTACAGTGTACTTGCAACTCTGTGATGAGCTGTACCAGGTCGAAAACCGAAACTATGAGGAGCTTGTTGATCCTTCAATCTTCATTCCTCGATTCACAAACAGTAAGTATATCGTCTTTTGCCTCCCATTCTTATTCTTTTCTGTATCGGGTTGACAAACTGTAACTATGTCGTCTCGATTCACAAACATTCTATTTTTTTTTGTTTTTAAGTTGGTGTGAACATCAGTCAAAATACAAATAGTTATATCAAACTCTTGTTTCATCATACACTTGCAGGCTTATTGAAAGGTACACACGATAAAGCACAAAATGTCATGGTAACGGCTAGAGACATTATAGCTAGTATGAAGAGAGATTGGATGCAGGTGTGACTCCTCTTTTATTTTATTGCTAAAAGGATAGTAACTTACATGTTCTTTCACTACAAGAGATAAGCCCGTTTCCGACGACCATTTCAGTCAGAATATGGTCGGAAACACATGTTTCCGATGAATTTCCGACCAACTAAATGTCGTTAGAAAAGCTTGGTCGGAAAATTTATGTTGTCGAAATTTGGTCGGAATTTTCTAACCACTTTAATGGTCGGACGGGTGGTCGGGAAAACTCGTCGGAAAATAGTCAGAAAATTATTGACCCAATTCCGACCAAATCTCAACCAGTTGATTCCAATCAATTTCTGACCACTTTAATGGTCGGACGGGTAGTCGGAAAATGGTCAGAAAATTATTGACCCAATTCCGACCAAATCCCAACTAGTTGATCCCAATCAATTTCTGTCCATATC